TGCCAGCTGCGCTGGTCACGTGACATGGCTCTACCCTCCATGGGGGCAGCCCCCACCCCACCCCCATCCCCCCCACCCCTCTCCCCCACGCCCCCCACCCCTCTCCCCCACCCCCACCCCCACCCCCCACCCCCCCACCCCTCTCCCCCCCCACCCCTCTCCCCCACCCCCCCACCCCTCTCCCCCACACCCCCACCCCCCACCCCTCTCACCGACCCCCCCACCCCTCTTCCCCCCATCCCCCCCACCCCTCCCCCACCCCCATCCCCCACGCCTCCCACCCCTCTCCCCCACCCACCCCCATCCCCCACTCGTTAATAACAATACTATAAATTCGTTAAGAAATCCTTGCAGTGATGTTGTTGTTGTTGTTTTCTCTCCACAGCTCTCAAGATCCTTGCAGTGATGCTGTTGTTGTTGTTTTCTCTCCACAGCTCTCAAGATCCTTGCAGTGATGTTGTTGTTGTTGTTTTCTCTCCACAGCTCTCAAGATCCTTGCAGTGATGTTGTTGTTGTTGTTTTCTCTCCACAGCTCTCAAGATCCTTGCAGTGATGTTGTTGTTGTTGTTATTTTCTCTCCACAGCTCTCAAGATCCTTGCAGTGATGTTGTTGTTGTTGTTGTTTTCTCTCCACAGCTCTCAAGATCCTTGCAGTGATGTTGTTGTTGTTGTTGTTTTCTCTCCACAGCTCTCAAGATCCTTGCAGTGATGTTGTTGTTGTTGTTGTTTTCTCTCCACAGCTCTCGTGATCCTTGCAGTGATGTTGTTGTTGTTGTTGTTGTTTTCTCTCCACAGCTCTCAAGATCCTTGCAGTGATGTTGTTGTTGTTGTTGTTTTCTCTCCACAGCTCTCAAGATCCTTGCAGTGATGTTGTTGTTGTTGTTGTTTTCTCTCCACAGCTCTCAAGATCCTTGCAGTGATGTTGTTGTTGTTGTTGTTGTTTTCTCTCCACAGCTCTCAAGATCCTTGCAGTGATGTTGTTGTTGTTGTTGTTTTCTCTCCACAACTCTCAAGATCCTTGCAGTGATGTTGTTGTTGTTGTTTTCTCTCCACAGCTCTCATGATCCTTGCAGTGATGATGTTGTTGTTGTTGTTTTCTCTCCACAGCTCTCATGATCCTTGCAGTGATGTTGTTGTTGTTGTTGTTGTTTCTCTCCACAGCTCTCAAGATCCACGTGTCAGCCTCCACCAAGGCGGTTCTTGAAGAGAGCGGCGACTTTTATCTGGAACCACGCGGGGAGCTGGACATGGAGGTGACCGTGACAGTGACAAGTGGCTAGCAAGTCACCTACACAGGGCGCTGTCTCCATGACTACCTACTGACTCAGTCACTCACTCACTCACTCAGTCACTCACTCACTCAGTCACTCACTCAGTCACTCACTCAGTCACTCACTCACTCAATGGCTAGCAAGCGTAGTCACCTACACAGGGCGTTGTCTCCATGACTACCTACTGACTCAGTCACTCACTCACTCACTCAGTCACTCACTCAGACACTCACTCAGTCACTCAGTCAGTCATTCACTCACGCAGACACTCACTCAGTCACTCAGTCAGACACTCACTCAGTCACTCAGTCAGACACTCACTCAGTCACTCACGCACTCACTCAGACACTCACTCACTCAGTCACTCACTCAGACACTAACTCACTCAGTCACTCAGTCAGACACTCACTCTTCTCAGTCACTCAGTCAGTCACTCACTCACTCAGTCACTCACTCACTCACCCATTCAGTCACTCAGTCACTCACTCACTTAGTCACTCACTCACTCAGACACTCACTCAGTCAGTCACTCACTCAGTCACTCAGTCAGTCACTCAGTCAGTCACTTACTCACTCACTCAGTCACTCACTCAGACACTCACTCACTCAGACACTCACTCAGTCACTCAGACACTCATTCAGTCACTCACTCAGTCACTCACTCAGTCACCCACTCACTCAGTCACTCGCTCAGTCACTCACTCACTCAGTCACTCACTCACTCAGTCACTCACTCAGACACTCACTCAGACACTCACTCAGTTACCCACTCACTCAGTCACTAACTCACTCAGTCATTCAGTCAGTCACTCACTCACTCAGGCGCTGTCTCCATGGTTACCTACTGCCTGTAGTCACCTACACAGGGCAATGTCTCCAAGGTTACCTACTGACTGTAGTCACCTACACAGGCGCTGTCTCCATGGTTACCTACTGCCTGTAGTCACCTACACAGGGCGCTGTCTCCATGGTTACCTACTGCCTGTAGTCACCTACACAGGGCGCTGTCTCCATGGTTACCTACCGACTGTAGTCACCTACACGGGCCCTGTCTCCATGGTTACCTACTGGCTGTAGTTCGTGGTGTTGTTGTCTTCCAGGGTGGAGGGTCTATGGCGACCTTCTGGTTGCTGGGGGAGAGAGACGGAGCATCGGAGGGGCGGGTGGAAGAGTCGATGCAGTGAGGAGGGTGGAGAGGGGTGGACGGACCACGCCGGGATGGGTGGAGCGGAACGCGATGGAACTACCAACATCAACACCATTACCACCATCACCATCATTACCACCATCACCACCATCATCACCACCACCACCACCATCATCACCACCACTACTACCACCATCATCACCATCACCACAACCACCACCATCATCACCACCACCATCACCACCATCATCACCACCACCATCACCACCACTACCACCATCATCACCACTACCGCCATGATCACCACCATCACCACCATCATCACCACCACATCCGCCATCATCACCACCACCACCACCATCATCACCACCACATCCGCAATCATCACCATCATCATCACCACCACCAATATCACCACCATCACCATGGTGCTGCTGACTGCCAGTAAACATCGTCACAGATGGAAGCTACACGTGGATATTTGTCTTTATTGTGAGTGAGTGAGTGGGTGAGAGTGGGTGAGTGAGTGGGTGGGTGAGTGGGTGAGTGAGTGAGTGGGTGGGTGGGTGTGTGAGTGGGTGAGTGGGTGAGTGAGTGTGAGTGGTGAGTGAGTGAGTGGGTGGGTGGGTGAATGAGTGGGTGAGTGGGTGGGTGAGTGAGTGAGTGAGTGGGTGAGAGTGGGTGAGAGTGGGTGAGTGAGCGGGTGGGTGAGAGTGGGTGAGAGTGGGTGAGTGAATGGGTGAACGGGTGGGTGAGTGGGTGGGTGGATGAGTGAGTGAGTCGGTGAGTGGGTGAGTGAGTTAGTGAGTTTGTGGGTGGGTGAGTGAGTGAGTTGGTGGGTGGGTGAGTAGATGGGTGTGTGAGTGAGTGAGTATGTGGGTGGGTGAGTGAGTGGGTGGGTGAGTGAGTTAGTGAGTTGGTGGGTGAGTGGGTGGGTGAGTGAATGGGTGGGTGGGTGGGTGTGTGGGTGGGTGGGTGGGTGAGTGAGTGGGTTAGTGAGTGACTGAGTGGGTGGGTGAGTGGATGAGTGAGTGAGTGGGTGTGTGAGTGGGCGGGTGAGTGAGTGAGCGGGTAAGTGGATGGGTGGGTTTGTGAGTGATTGGGTGGGTGAGTGAGTGGGTGAGTGAATGAGTGGGTGGGTGAGTGAGTGAGTGAGTGAGTGAGTGGGTGGGTTGGTGGGTGAGTGAGTGAGTGGGTGGGTGGGTGAGTGAGTGGGTGGGTGGGTGGGTGAGTGGGTGGGTGGGTGGGTGAGTGGGTGGGTGGGTGAGTGGGTGGGTGGGTGGGTGGGTGAGTGGGTGGGTGGGTGGGTGAGTGAGTGGGTGGGTGTGTGAGTGAGTTGGTGGGTGGGTGAGTGAGTGGGTGGTTGAGCGAGTTGGTGAGTGGGTGAGTTGGTGGGTGGGTAGGTGAGTGATTGGGTGGGTGAGTTAGTGAGTTGGTGGGTGAGTGGGTGAGTGAGTGGGTGAGTGAGTGAGTGGGTGAGTGAATGGGTGAGTGAGTGGGTGGGTGAGTGAGTGGTTGGGTGAGTGAGTGGGTGGGTGAGTGGGTGAGTGGGTGAATGGGTGAGTGAGTGGGTGAGTGAGTGGGTGAGTGAGTGGGTGTACTGGTGAGTGGGTGAGTGAGTGGGTAAGTGGGTGAGTGGGTGAGTGGGTGAGTGAGTTGGTGAGTGGGTGAGTGGGTGGGTGGGTGAGTGGGTGGGTGGATGGGTGAGTGGGTGAGTGAGTTGGTGGGTGAGTGGGTGGGTGGGGAGTTAGTGGGGGTGAGTTAGTGGGTGGGTGAGTGGGTGGGTGAGTGGGTGGGTGAGTGAGTTGGTGGGTGGGTGAGTCAGTGGGTGAGTCGGTGGGTGAGTTGGTGAGTGGTTGGGTGAGTGAGGTGGGCGGAGTCTGTGGGCGGGGCCCAGGCTCTCGGATGACGTCATCGATCACCTGGCAGGAAGTGAAATTCGCGCGATGTCACGTGGTGCCGTAGGCAGCGCCAGGCCGTGAGGTAATCAGCTATTGGTGGTTGTGGTGGTGGTGGTGATTATGATGGTGGTGATGGTGATGATGGTGGTGATGGTGGTGGTGATGGTGGTGATGATGATGGTGGTGATGATGATGGTGGTGATGATGGTGATGATGATGGTGATGATGATGGTGAACTGGTGGTGATGGTGGTGATGGTGGTGAACTGGTGGTGATGGTGGTGAACTGGTGGTGATGGTGGTGATGTGGTGGTGATGGTGGTGATGATGATGGTGGTGATGATGGTGGTGATGGTGGTGGTGGTGATGATGGTGATGATGGTGGTGATGGTGGTGATGATGATGGTGGTGATGGTTATGATGGTGGTGATGATGGTGGTGGTGATGATGGTGATGATGATGGTTATGATGGTGGTGATGGTGGTGATGATGGTGGTGATGATGATGATGGTGGTGGTGATGATGATGGTGATGATGACAATCTAGGGGAGGCGCAGGATCGGTTCAAACATGAGCCAGTGTTGTCCGTCGTGAGTGGGAATTCAACTCGGCGCAGCGCGCTAATCGCTGCGCCACCGATCCCCACACTGCCCCCCCCCCTAGGTCGACTCAGCCTCAACCGAGTACTCGGCGCGGCGTGTAAACATCGCCACGAGGGAGACACAGGAGGCCGCGCGTGGTGCTGGCCACCCACCCACCCACCCCTCGTGTGCCACAGTGCCGGCCTTCATAGGTGCTGCTACTCGCTAACAGCAGCACTTGCCCCAACAGTCTGTTAAGGCTACACGGGGGATCTTTGTATCGAGGAGTGTGTGTACCGTGGGGGAGATGCGTGTTAAGAGTGTGTGTCACTGCAGGTGTATGTGTGTGTGTGTGCTGCATGTGGTGGTGGGGGAGTGTATGGCGGGCGGTGGCACAGTGGTTAGCGTGCTGCGCTACGAACCCGGCCACCCGAGTTTGATTCCAGCTCACAGCTAACACCAGTGAAACCGGTCCTGGGCCTCCCCTAGGTCGCCTCAGCCTCAAGTTAGTACCTGGTGGGGTGTATAAACATCGCCACTCGGGACACAAAGGTGACCTGGCGTGGTGCTGGTCACGCACTCGCTAATAGCACTTGCCCCAACAGTCCATAGTGCCTATACGGGGTATCTTTGTCTCCCTTTGATGCTGCTAATCCTGCAAAATGCACGGGCATAAGTAGTACTAATCACATACTTGCATTTCCCATAAATATACAAAATTACTCTTGATATGCATATTATTTTGTCTTCTCGTCCTCTGGCTTGAGATGGCTGCCACCTATGGGTCAGATGATTGCCTGCCACCATTAAGCAATTGGTAATTAAATATAAAAAAAAATTCCTAAAAAGTGTAAAACTTTTTGAAAAATATTTTTCACGAAAATAAATTGTCACGCACAACGAGTCTGTGTGGAAAATGTCAGCTCGATTGGATCACCGGAAGTGGGTTAAAAAACGACCGAAAGATTTGCACGGTCGTAAGCGCTCAAGCAAGCAAGTGAACTTAATATAAAGGATTTAAAAAAGAAAAACAGAGCAATGTAATACAATACATTATTAGACATTATTGTTAAAAATAAAGACAAAGTCCATCCGGGGGGGGGACTCCAGAACCCCCTAGAAGATTTGCCCCCCCCCCCCCCAAAGTTGACGCCATGGCTACGGCTAGGCCTCGGCAAGGGAAGGTGATTTACCCTTTTTAAATCCTTTATATTAAGTTCACTTGCTTGCTTGCTTGCGCGCTTACGACCGTGCAAATCTTTCGGTCGTTTTTTAACCCACTTCCCGTGATCCAATCGAGCTGACATTTTGCACACAGACTCGTTGTGCATGACAATTTATTTTCGTGAAAATTTTTTTCAAAAATTTTCCACTTTTTAGGAAAAACAAAAATTTCATATTTAATTTAAAATACCAATGTGATACAAATGAAATTCTTACTCAAGATGAACAGAAATGAATAATAAAATAAAACCGATGCTACGCATATAAAGGATTTATAGTGAAAAACTTTGTTTTTACGGGTTAATTTTTTACCTTTTACCTTACCTGCTAAAGGGTAAAAGGTATGGTAGAGTGATCGTATTGCGGTAAGGTAAAAGGTAGGGTAAAGGTGGCTCGTTGTTTTTAAATCCTTTATATTAAGTTCACTTGCTTGCTTGCTTGCGCGCTTACAACCGTGCGAATCTTTCGGTCGTTTTTTGACCCACTTCTCGTGATCCAATCGAGCTGACATTTTGCACACAGACTCGTTGTGCGTGACAATTTATTTTCGTGAATGTTTTTTGCAAAATGTTCGACTTTTTAGGAATTTTTTTTAAATATTTTATTTAAATTACCAATGTGATAAAAATGAAACTCTTACTCAAGAAAAACAGAAATGAATAATAAAATAAAACCGATGCCACGCATATAAAGGATTTATAGTGAAAAACTTTGTTTTTACAGGTTAATTTTTTATCTTTTACGTTACCTGCTAAAGGGTTAAAGGCAGGGTAGAGTGATTGTATTGTGGTAAGGTAAAAGGTAGGGTAAAGGCAAGGCTCGTTTTTACCTTTTAACTCTTACCTTGCCGAGGCCTAGCTACGGCCTCGCTCTTTTGTATCCATTTACACCTCCTTGCATCGTCCATCTCTCACACTCACCCCCAATTTGCAGATGGAGCGCCGGCTAATGCTTGCTCTCGACGTCCCTGAGAATGACCCCGGGCCCTTCCCCAAGCGGCTGGTTTAGGTAAAGGCCCCCTCCCCTCACCCCCTCTACCCCCATAACCCTCCCCCACCGGCGTTGAAGTTGACTAGCGCGGCGGTCGTCACGGCGGTGGCGGAAGAGCGCAGGGCGCTAGCGGCAATCCGGCGGTGGTGACGTGGCTCGCACCTCGCGGCAAGGAAGGTGTCCTGGGTTCGACCCCCAACTCGGGTGCCGTGCTGCGTACGTTCAACCCCCTGTTCGGCAGTGTGCGAGTGTCATGCGTTGGTGAGTGTAAGGGTGAATGTGTGTGTGTGTGGTATGTGGTGTATGTGTCTTTGGGGTTTGTGGTGTTGTATTTAGCATGCCATACATCAGCATGTGATGTTTGTGTGTGTGTGTGTACACATGTATATATGTTGGGGGAGCGGTGGCCAATTGGTTAGCACGCACTGCGCTCTGAACCTGGCGACGTGAGTTTGATTTCCACTTACAGCTCACACCCAGTGACAGTTATCTGAACTTGGTCTCAAATAAGTACCCGGTGCGATGTATAACTGTCTCCACTGGGGAGACCAAGGCGGCCGGGTGTGTTGGTAACTGCATATCACATCCCCTCGTGTGCCATGCCGGCCTTCATATTTTCTGCTGCGCGCAAACTGCCCTTGCCCCAGCAGTCTGTTGAAGGCTATCCGGGGTACCTTTGCGTACGTGTATCCACGTGATGTACGAGCGTACATCATGTAACGCCGTCCCCTGCCGCCTCCCCGACCCCACCTGCGCCTTCCCCGTGTGTGCTCTCGCGCGTGCGCCCCCACAGATCAAGTCGAACACGCATGAAAATACTCTTAGTTCTATCGGTAGTCACGTAGGTAAAAAATGAAATTAAAATTAATAAAGAAAAAAACTAAAAAAAACTAAAAAACTAAAAATAATAATATTAACTTTTTTTCATTTATTTTTTTAAATCCTTGCAGTCACGAAAGCTTCAAATCTAGAACACATGAAAATGCGCGTTATCGCATCGCGGGGCCCGGAGCCGACCAGGACCCCATCGGGGTTTTCATCGTGGATCCTGTGACCGGGTGGCTTTCGGTCAGCAAGACCCTGGACCGCGAGCTCGTCAAAGAGTACCTGGTGAGGCACTCACACTAGTGTAATGCGAGCGTAAACGGCCTCGCGGATATGACGTAACAGGTGGGAGGAGTTGGGTCACGTGGGGAGAGGGAGTGCTTTTAAGGGCAGGAACCGGAAGGGCTGGAGGAGAGTGTGGGAAGAAAGAAAGGTAGGAGGATGGCGTTAGCGGTCGAGATGCCTGAGGCTCCAGTGTGCCCGGGACCGGCCGATGGGGTTCTGAACCTTCCACGAGCGGTGTGGATCCGTGAACAAATGCTTGATGACTCGTTGGGGACCCTGCGGAGTCGGGCTGCAAAGGGAGGGGGGGGACTGGTTTCCGGGGGGACCCTGGGGGCCGCTCTCCGCGATGGACTGCTGATGTGGAGGGAGGGGTTATATGATCGCTGGCATCTGGTTGTACCGTCGTCGTTACGGTACGAATTGATTAGGACTCTGCATTGCGACACGCTATTACACCTGGGGGTGCAGAAAACCTTGTTGACGTTGCAGCGAGACTACTTCTGGCACGGCATGACGACGGATGTCGTCAGGCACGTTCGTGTGTGTCCCGAGTATGCCCGGCGGAAGCCGCCTAAACACCCATATGTGCCGCCGATACAGTCTATTCGGGTGTCTCGAGTTAACGAGTTGGTGGCGTTGGATATTTTGGGACCCTTCCCGCCATCCGCTAAGGGTAATAAATACTTGCTAGTTGGGGTGGAGTATCTCTCCCGCTGGCCGATGGCCTGGCCCTTGCCCGACCAGTCGGCGGCGTCCATTACAGACGCCTTTCTATTTGGATATGTCATGGACAAAGGGGCGCCGGAGAGGCTGCTCACTGATCAGGGCCGGAATTTTTCTTATAAATTGTTGGGGGAGGTGTGCGCTGCTTTGGGGACCAAAAATATCCGGACATCCCCCTACCACCCGCAGACGGATGGCATGGTGGAAAGACTAAATCGGACGCTGTCAGCCATGCTGTGTCACACGGTTAATGAGAAGCAAGCTGACTGGGATTTGCACATCCCTGGGGTACTCTCGGCATACCGGATGACGCCTCACGCGTCCACAGGATATTCTCCGTTTTTTCTCATGTACGGTCGCGAAAACGTGCCGCCAATGGATGTGCAGTTGGGAATGGGAGTGAGAGGACCTACTAAGCCTCTCCCCGACTACATTCAGGACGCCGTTCGCCGCGTCGCTGAGGCGCGGGAGGGGGCCCGAGTGGCTACTGCCAAAACCCAGGCCCGAAACAAACGTTGCGCTCGATGCTCGAAGGGGAAGTGCCCCTGGAAGGTGGGGGATATGGCTTGGCTGCATTGCCCGCAGGTGCGAGCAGGAGCCTCCCCTAAACTGCATAAACCATGGCAGGGGCCTGTTAGGCTCATTGAGGTTCCTAACCCGCAGTCCGCGCGCGTTCGGTTCGGAGCTCGGCGCTGGTACGTCCATACGTCTCGCTTGAAACCATACGTGGCCCCTCGAACGGATGCGTCATCTCCTGATGTTGCCTTGCCGGTGTCTGTTGCTGCCGACGCACCCTTGCCTGTGCCTGTTGACCCTGCAAGAGCGCCTGTCGTGCCTTCTACAGACAAACTGGCCGTGACACTGCAGGAGGCAGCGGACTCTGCTCGGGGCGGGCCTATTACGGCTGCGGGGACACCTGGCCCCGCCGCCCTTCCAACCACACCACAGACACGCCGTGTGGTGGCGTGGTGCGTACGGTTATGTCCGTAAACTCGGGGGGATTATCGTTGATGTCGGCGATGGTGACGATGGCGGTGGCTGTGTTTGTGAGGCCGATGTCCGGGTCGCCCTCCAAGTCTGAGGCCTGCACCACCAGCACGTACTGCGGCGTCGTCTACATCGACGGGGCACACAGACAGCACCAATCACAGACAGACAACGGGGACAAACATTCATCGTGCAGCCTCAACAGACCTTTGGGGCAAGTGCCGTTAAGCAAGCGGCCACTGTGGAAGGCCGGCACGCCACACGAGGAGGTGGGTGGCCAGCATCACGCCCGGCCGCCTTTGTTTCCCTAGTGGGGATGTTTGCACACTGCAGCAGGTACTAATTTGAGGCTGAGTCAACTGTCACCAGTGTTGGATCGAACTCGGGTCCCCGGGTTCGTAGCGGAGCGCGCTCGCCGCGACACTGTCGCTTCCGAGACACACTAGAAGAAGAAGCCACTGGAGCTGAAAACTCGTTTCTTTAGATCCGCTTTTCATGTTAAGCCTGTCGCCCTTCCCTCGCACCTCCGGTCAGCGCGATCGTCTACGTACGGTGCGCGACAGACGCTCAACGTATGTATATACACACCGAAAACACAAATGTAACACTGTACACGCAACGCCAGAGATTAGCCACCACCGCCCGGACCGACATCGGCCAATCAGCGGCGGTTGCCGCGGGACAACAACCCACCTCGCGGTCCAGCCCGGCGGCGATGGTGCTGATGACGCCCGTGGTCTTGTCGATGGTAAACACGCGGTCCAAGGGCTTCGTGGGAACCTGCGACACGATCTTGTAGCGGTTCATGCCGTTGGGCGATAAGGCGTCGTCCTCGTCACTTGCCGTGACCGTCATCACTGGCGTGCCTACCGGGGGTGGGAGGGCGGGGAGGGAGGAGGGCAGGGAGGGCAGGGGAGGGCAGAGGTGAAGGGCAGGGAGAGGGGCGTGGACATGGTGACTCTCAAGAACAAACATTATATTCGTTCGCATCGCAACCACCACCATTCTTGTTATGCTCAACATCGTCGTTGCCAGCAGCACGCGTCGCCACCGACCATCCACATGGGCGAACCGGCCGCGCGCATCTAGTTTCCGCGCCGTATCCGCGGTCTGTCTCAGCCGAAGGGTTCAGATCGTGAGCGTCAAGGTGCCGTGTTCACGGAAGCAGAGGGCTTGGCCGTCCCCACACTTGTCCTGGAACACGCCATACTCGCCCCCCACCTAGGCGTAGTACTCATGCTCTAGTTTGAGCCTCGCCACCAGCAGACCTCTCGTCATGGCCACCGCCGAGCAGCCCTCGTCTGCGGTTGTGTCGCTTTTTAGTTTTTTTTTGCGCGTTTTGTAAATGGCCATTTTTGCCTGGGCAAGAACAAAGTTCGCTAAGCTGTGGCGCTTTTTCGCTCTGCGTGGTGTTCCACATACGAGGCTGCTCTTGAAAAAAGTCACTTCCAACTTTCTGAAAGATTGATCCTAACATCTTGAAAAGTGGCGTCAGCCTCTGGCACCCTATGTATTGGTGGGCAAGATCTTCTCTTTGGCCGCAAAAAGCGCACGAATCGGACGCTCCTGGGTTGATCTTCTTTACCCACGCCGCCGAAGGCAGTGCCCAATGGGCGAGCCTCCATTGGAGGTCTCCGCTCCGTTTCGCCACTGGGGCCTTGTATAGTTCTCCCCACTGAGGGGTGACGTCTATCAGCGGGGGAAAAACGTCCTACCACTTCATGCACGGCAGGTCTTTTAAGGCTTGACGGTGCAGAGTCTTTACGCAGCAGCTATATATCGCCACCTTGGAGGCGCCTTTGAGAGCCACGTTCCCGCAGTCTTCAAGCTTAAGCAGCATGCCTGCGTCACTCCGCCCAGGGACCTGGACACAGGCAGCATGTAGCTCCGGGAAGGCAGGAAGGGGAGGCTGAGCCGAGTCGGTGTCGTCTGGTGTGTGTATCTGTAGTTGCAAGTTTTTCGCTCTTTTGAGTACTCCACGCAGTATTTTCTCCCCGGCCAGCATTGTGCGGAGACCTGCGGCGTGGCTTATGTCAGCCGCGTTCTTCCACTTTCGGTGGTCGTTGTGGCTTTCCACCAAGTCGCCGACTGTTTTTATGCTGGCTTTGGTGAATCGGAAAGCCATCGTCTTTTCTTGTTTCAGCTCCCCGATGAGGTCGTTAAAGAACAGGGGTTCTGTTAGAAAAGCGTTCACACTGCAGTATGGGCTTTCCCTGACCCACTCTAGGCTTTGCCACGCTTATCCCAGGCTTCGGGTATATGATGGTAATCTAGATGGAAATTCGTCAGGTACAGATATTGAAGGCTTCACGAACTACGTGGTCGAAATAGATGTTTAATAATGTGGGAGACAGAGGACATCTCTGTCTAAATCCCTAGGTGTACAGGAAATGGCACGAATTGAGAGTTGTGGGGGTGGAGTGTCCGTTGTTACAAAATACCCAGGCAGGTGCTATCACCATCACACCCCCGTCACCGCCGCGCCCATCTGCACCTGGTAGGGAGCCCTCATCCACGGAGCCCTGGATAACGGGCATCTCGAAGTGCGGCCTGTTGTCGTTAAGGTCCTGCACGTTGATTAGGAGATGCACGTCATTATCCACCGCGTGGCCATTCTTATCCACCGCGTGGCCGTTGACCTGCAGTGGATACGCAACACACGCGCAATGCACACGCAACGCACACGCAACGCACATGCGCGTTACACGCAACGCACGTGTGGTTGTAATCGCCGACGTTGGGATGTTTAGAGTTGGCCAAACATCCCTCCTCTCGAGCGGTGGTTGGTTCTCTGAGAGTCCCACCTGGACCACCGACGGGCCGTGCCGGTACTCCTGGAGGTCCGCTGGGCTGCGAAGCTGATTGCAGGTTGATCCGCAAACGTTTACGCCTTTTGTTTCGGACGTTAAGATTTTACTCGTGATATTGAAAATTGTAAATAAAATGAGGTAAACCGCCCCGATTAAATTACCCGAACCCCGATATCTAAATTCTCCGCGTAAAAAAACAAAACCGTTCTAGCTGCGTTAATGTTCTTTTAATGTTCCGGTAATATGAATATATTTGAGTAATATTGGTACTTAGAGAATTGAATGTTTTTGTCACCAGGGGCGGGAGGCACTTGCACCCCGGAATTGTTGACGTTGACCGAGTGGTCCGGCGGGCAGGACATTTGAGAACTCCACAATCGAGGCCTGGACCTCGCTAGGCCAACACACGCGCGGGGTGTGGTGCTAGTGTGAGTGCCTCACTAGGAACTCTTTGATGAGCTCACGGTCCAGGGTCTTCGTAACAGAGAGCCACCCGGTCACAGGATCCACGATAAACACCCCCATGGGATCCTCGTCTGCTCCGGGCCCCGCGATGCGATAACGTGCATTTTCATGTGTTCTAGATTTGAAGCTTTCTTGAATGCAAGGATAAAAAAAATGAAATAAAAGTTAATATTATTTATTTTTTTGTTTTTATTTTTTGGACTTGATCTGTGGGGGCGCACGCGCGAGAGAGCACACACGGGGAAGGTGCAGGTGGGGTCGGGGAGGCAGCAGGGGACGGCGTTACATGATGTACGCTCGTACATCACGTGGATACACATACGCAAAGGTACCCCGGATAGCCTTCAACAGTCTGCTGGGGCAAGTGCAGTTTGTGCGCAGCAGCAAATATGAAGGCCGGCATGGCACACGAGGGGGTGTGATATGCAGTTACCAACACACCCGGCCGCCTTGGTCTCCCCAGTGGAGACAGTTATACATCGCACCGGGTACTTATTTGAGACCAAGTTCAGATTACTGTCACTGGGTGTGAGCTGTAAGTGGAAATCAAACTCACGTCGCCAGGTTGCGAGCGCAGCGCGTGCTAACCAATTGGCCACCGTTCCCCCATGCTGATGTATGGCATGCTAAATACAACACCACAAACCCCAAAGACACATACACCACATACCACACACACACACACATTCACCCTTACACTCACCAACGCATGACACTCACACACTGCCGAACAGGGGGTTGAACGTAGGCAGCACGGCACCCGAGTTGGGGGTCGAACCCAAGACACCTTCCTTGCCGCGAGGTGCGAGCCACGTCACCACCGCCGAACTGCCGCTACCGCCCTGCGCTCTTCCGCCAGCGCCGTGACGACCGCCGCGCTAGTCAACTTCAACGCCGGTGGGGGACGGTTATGGGGGTAGAGGGGGTGAGGGGAGGGGGCCTTTACCTGCACCAGCTGCTTGGGGAAGGGCCTGGGGTCATTCTCAGGGACGCCGATCGCAATAATGAGCCACTACCGTTTTTAGATTGTCAGAAATTGGGATGTTACTCTGATTAACCATGCAAAAAAAATTTAACTACACTTATTTGCCAATCTTATTTGACAGACAACCATTACAGTTTTACCATGTTTAGTGGTGGTCTCCCTGTCACAGGTTGAGTCACAAACCGCACCTCTCCATAACAAAGGCTCAGCCTTTGTTATGCAGTCTATTCTTAGTCTCAAGCCTCACCTTACCATATTAATAATAAGTATGCGGCCCTTGCCCCACCACCTCCAACCATTATATAAACGGAGTGGTAGCTCCTGCAATCTCTCATTTACTTGATACAGCTGTCGTGGCTGTGACGGTACCACCTGAAGACGGAAGCTTGTGTTGCCTCCGAAACGTCGTGATTTTTATTTGAATGTTTTTACCTACGTGACTTTACCGCAAAAACCTAAGAATAACAATCACTCTACCCTACCTTTTACCCTTTAGCAGGTAAGGTAAAAGGTAAAAAGCAACGAGCTTACCTTTACCCTACCTTTTACCCTTACCCCATACAAATGACCCGATGACAGGGTAATTACTAGGGAACTACACATCAACAGGGTTTATAACGGTAAATGCTAGGTAGAGCGCTTTATTCATATATAATACTCTCTATTATTCCAATTTTACACGCTTTCTTTGAACTCACTCTGTCTGTTGTTGTCGTTGTTGTTGTTGTTGCATCCTCAAATCTAGAAACTCAATTTTTACCCACTTCCTAATGTGGTATCGACTGCAAACTTGGTATACTTAGGTCATACTTATGACAATACTATATTCTATCATTAAACATTTATATATTTTTAAACACTCTTTTTTCTATGTAATGTTTCGGCTTGGCTCTAATTGTCCACGCTCAACTGACGTTGGCTGTAATTGGCCAAGGCCCCTTACGTTGTGCCAAGCATTGCGGCCACTTCCTGGAGTCGTGGAGTTCTGCCATTACTCGTACAATCATAAAAGCGTGTTTTTAATAAAGTTGTTTTAAATATTACTTGTTAAATGTAGGCCATGGCGTCAAAATTGGGGGGGGGGGGGGCAAATCTTCGAGAGGGTTCTGGAGTCCCCCCCCCCCCGGATGGACTTTTTCTTTATTTTTAAATCCTTTATATTAAGTTCACTTGCTTGCTTGCGCGCTTACGACCGTGCAAATCTTTCGGTCGTTTTTTAACCCACTTCCCGTGATCCAATCGAGCTGACATTTTGCACACAGACTCGTTGTGCGTGACAATTTATTTTCGTGAAATTTTTCTTCCAAAATTTTACACTTTTTAGAAAAAAAAATTTTCACTAACAATCATATATTTTTCCTAAACACAGAAAATTATTCAAGAAAACAACAAAAATGTACAATATAAACAATCATACAAAAACTGAAAATCTTATAATCCTTATATACGACTTTCCTTTAATTTAA